TTTTCTCTTATTTTTACTTGGGCCCCCAATTTATGGGATTGTGCCACCCGCACTCAGAATGAGTGCTTCCCCTCAGTTAGTTGTGGCTCCTTCAAGTTGATTTTCTTAGGTCTTTTCTCAATGAGGGGATACTAACAGGAATGGAGAGTTATGGAGAAACCCTGTCTTGAAAAAAACAAAACAAACAAACAAAAAATTCCATGGATGTCACTGCCCTAAAGACCATTCATAGCTCATTGGTATGCAGGTGCCAAGGCAGGCTCCATGAATCTTCTCTGGGCCTTTTCCCACCAGACTGTCAACAGGTCTGAGCAATACCATTTGCTTTCTGTCTGTCACTGTGACAAAGAGCCAAGGAGATCAGCTTGAAGAAGGAAGGAGTTATTTCACTCAGCGACCCTTTGCCTTTGGTATTTGAGGACTTTCATGAAGTGTTGGGAGCATGTGGTGACAGGAAGCAGACAAGAGAAGAGAAGGGGCTGTGGGCAAATGTACCCTTAATGCACGCCCCTAATGACTCTACCAACTAGACCCCAGTTCTAAGTTCCCCCACTTCCTATTAGCCCATTTAGCCATGAACTCATCAGTGTGCCAGGACCTTTGTGATCCAGCTGTCTCTCAAGGCCTCAGCTGTGAATACTGCTGCTTTGGGCACCATTGGTCATGAGCCCTTGGGGACATTTATGACCCAATATGATGCCATTCACTCTCATTGATCACAGTTCTCAAGATTTATTCATTTATGTATGCATGTGTGTGTGTGCATACATGTATGCAGATACACCCATAAAGACCAGAGAGTGACGGTGGCCTTCTGTCACACCCCATCTACGCTTTTTAAGGCACTATATCTCCCTAAACTTGGAACTTGTATTTTCTCAACTTGGTTGGAAGCAAAAAAGCTCCAACTTGGAGCTGGGGCTATGGGTGTGTGAGACACCCAATTGTGTGACTGCTGGGACATAATTCCAGCCCTTGTGAAGACTGCGCAACAAGTGCCTGTAACCACTGAGCCTTTCTCCAGCTTCTGCTGGGACAGGGCCTTTGCCAAATGCTCAGTTCATGTTTTTAATAGGTGTAGTTGTGTGATACGGGTATGGCTGCACATTGCCTTGGCAGATCTGAAAACCTCTATCTCTGTCTAAGACATAGCCTGTTCATTTGGATCTGTTCTCAATTGTTCTTCACATCCTCGCCCCAAGTTCTTGTGCTGGGATGATCAGGGGTGGCATGGCTTAGTTAAGGTAGCATCCAAGCTGACAGCTCCAGGGAACTGCTTTACTGCTTTCTTGTTCTGCATAGCCTGTATGGGCTGCATTGGTCCTGTCTGTGTCCTGTTCCCTAAAGGCCTTCCTCTCAGCTATGTACTCCAGAACAGGTACCATGAAGGCTTCTGGCTCTGAAGATGCTGGGAAATGTGGAATTTTTTTCTGTGTTCAATTGCCACTGAGGACAGAGAGAAGCTACTAGGCCCCAGTGTAGTATCTGCCATGAATGAGGTTGGCTACCCTGAAATAGTTTGCCCAGCTCTCCTGGAGGCCCTAGGTCACCTAGGTTAAAAAGTTTTCCCGTGGTCTTATATGTGTCTTCAGTAGGGCTCATGGGTCTGTCTGAAATTCTGAGTCCATCATCATGTCTGGGGGACAGGCCAGGGAACCAGGAAACTGCAAGCTTTACCACAAATCTGAGTTGGGGATGGTGCTCAGATCTTGGCCCTGGGGTAAGCAGTGATCTACCCATGTCTGCAGGAGGACATCGCGAAGCTGCTACGGTATGAGTCCTCAGCCCTGCCTGCTGGGCAGCTGACCAGTCTATCAGACTATGCCAGCAGAATGCAGGCTGGCACCCGCAACATCTACTACCTGTGTGCCCCTAACCGTCACCTGGCTGAGCATTCACCCTACTACGAGGCCATGCGGCAGAAACACACTGAGGTGGGTGGACTCCGGCCTGCTGCTAGGCCAACGATGGTATCTTAGAGGGCCTGAGCTCTGAGGGAAGGGCTTGAACTCCCAAGTCATCATAAGAGAAAATGACTGAATGTGTTTGAGGGCTGTGTGGTATAAGGCAGTTCCCTGTCTGTGATGTGTCTGTCATTAGGTAGATGGTGTGTGTATCTGTCACCAAGACAGCCAGAGCCTCTTTTAGGAGCTCTGATGAGCTGTTGCTCAGGCCCCAGAGCCCCAGTGTCTGTGGGTTAATAGGTGTGGACGCCCGCAGGTACTCTTCTGCTACGAGCAGTTTGATGAGCTTACTTTGCTGCACCTGCGGGAGTTCGACAAGAAGAAGCTGATCTCTGTGGAGACAGACATCGTCGTTGACCACTATAAGGAGGAAAAGTTTGAGGATACATCTCCAGGTTGACTCCCATCTCTCTGTGGGGCATGGTCCTATAGGAATGTTGTGCAGGAAACTCACTTATCCCCCCAGGACCATCTTGACCTGCCCATGAACACAGCATTCTCTTTCTCACTTGGATTTTAGTTCACCAGCCCATGCAGGAAGCTGCTTGGGAAAAGCCTAACAAGCAGTGGGAACATCTAGGGCCCAGGCATTGCTGATGTTCCTCCTGTGGAGGTTCCTGCAATTGACCAGACTTTTAGAGAGAGGTGGAATTGCTCTCACCCCACCCCACCCCACCCCCTTTTTTTAAAGATAGGTGTTCATTTTGTAGCCAAGGCTGGCCATGAACTCCTGATCTTCCCACCTCACTGCTCTGAGTACTAGGATTACATTCCGTACTACCGTGGTTGATTTCAAATTTTTCTTTTTTTAAAGTCCTAAAAAATTTGCAGAGGACAGGAGCGACCACGGGTGTTTTCAAGGTTTTCTGTGTCCATGAAAGGCATTTCCAAGAGCCTCTGTCCCTAGTTCCTGGCGAGGAAGTATAGCTAGAGATAGCTCAGGAGTGTGCGACAGTGGTTAGTAGCCCCTGGGTTGACTCACTCTCTTGTACAGCTGGTGAATGCCTGCCTGAGAAGGAGACTGAAGAGCTAATGGCTTGGATGAGAAACGCATTGGGGTCTCGTGTCACCAATGTGAAGGTAAAGCCTTCCTGCAGTTACTGGGAACTTGGTGTCTTCTTAGAGCCTGACTGTAGCTTGAGATACTGGCCTGGTGGGGTCCACAGAAAGGCACTGAACCCTCGTGGCAACTCCACCAGGCACTAGCATCTTGCCATTAAAGCTTTGGCACTGTCAGTCTCAAGCCTGCCAGTCTACTGTCTCTGAACCCCAGTGGGGTTTAGGCCTCAGGGCGGGTGCTTCCAAAAAGCCACCTCTGCCTCCTCTTGACCTTACCTGCTGAGGACCTCACTCGAACACAGGAGGTTTGTGCCTCCTGTCATGAAGAGGCCTCACTTGACAGCTGCGGCTCTGCCTCTTCACGCGGGAGGGTCTCCTAGCCACCAGGGAGAAGGATTGGAGCCAGTCCAAGTCCATAAGCCTTAGACATCTAGCTGTCATCTTTGTCATCACAACCTGGACAAATTACTGGAGCAGTTGATATAGAAGCAGGTGCCACCATAGGGCCAGGTCTGCCTTCTACCTAATGGCCTGGTTAACTTCGGACCCTGTCAACCCTGGGCCCCTTACTACTAGGTTCTTCCTCATCCTAGGCCTTCCTTGCAGGTGACTTTCCGCCTGGACACCCACCCTGCCATGGTGACGGTGCTGGAGATGGGGGCTGCTCGGCACTTCCTGCGAATGCAGCAGCTGGCCAAGACCCAGGAGGAACGAGCTCAACTGCTACAACCCACTCTGGAGATCAACCCCAGGTTTGCCCAGGCCCAGTTCACAGCTGTCGAGGGCTCCTACAGATTGTTTGAGCACGGTCTTCTGTCTGGACAGCGTTTACAAAGTGTGGATGCTGTGCTTGTGTGCCATGTAAGGATGGCTCTAAGAGAAGGAAGGCCCTTGGCATTAAACACAAGTTAAAAGGTGCTCACTGGAGGGTTAAACACAACATTGCTGATCTAATTTGTTTCCCATTTTCCTACTAAAGTTCTGTTTCCCTGTGTTAAACCACAAACCTGACATTTCCTCACTTTGCCTGTTTTTTGTTTTGTTTGCCATCTCTGTGCCCTTAAAGCCACTTTTGGCCGGGCGTTGGTGGCGCAGGCCTTTAATCCCAGCACTCGGGAGGCAGAGGCAGGCGGATCTCTGTGAGTTCGAGACTAGCCTGGACTACCAAGCGAGTTCCAGGATAGCCTCCAAAGCCACAGAGAAACCCTGTCTCGAAAAACCAAAAAAAAAAAAGCCACTTTTGGTAGTTGCCATTTTTTTTCCCTGAGACAGGGTTTCTCTGTGTAGCAGTCCTGGCTGTCCTAGAACTCACTGTGCAGACCAGGCTGGCTTCAAACTCACAGAGATCTTCCTGCCTCTGCCTCCCAAGTGTTGCGATTAAAGACTGCACCATCACCGCCCGTTGGTGCTGACACTTTTATGGTGATTGTTGTCTGGGTAACTTCTAGAACCTGGGTATTTTTTCATGCTAGACAGTCTAGACACATTGTAGTTTTTAGTGTTCTAATAATCGTAACATAACAGCAGAAGCCCAGGGTTGGTGATGCCCAACTTGAGCTGGTTTCCCTCTGTTTCCGTGATGCAGGCACACACTAATAAAGAAGCTCAGTCAGCTGAGAGAGCGGGAGCCGCAGCTGGCCCAGCTGCTGGTGGATCAGGTGAGGAGGACTGACTGCATTTCTTTGTCTGCCTTGGGGGTAGGAAGCTACTCTCTTCCTCAGGGTCACATGTAGGTCAGACTGGACTTGACCCCTCATCCTGATTTTACTGTCCATCCCTACATTTCAGATCTATGAGAACGCCATGATAGCAGCAGGACTCGTTGATGACCCCCGGCCCATGGTTGGCCGCCTGAACGACCTTCTGGTTAAGGCCCTGGAAAAACATTGACAGCCCAGAGACCGGGCCTAGTATGCAACCCAGGTCTTCTCGGGCGACAAATGGAGCTGCCTGGGGAGGAAGGACTTGATACACAGATGGTGCCACAGCTGATTGAGCTCAGCTTTATTTACCTCATTAAACCGGATTTCTTAGTGCACAGGTAGTTGTTCTGTCTGTCCCGGGATGATGAGGGCTGCAGCGCCACATGTGTCTGGTGGCACAGTTGGAACCTTCCTCACCAGGAGCACTTGGCTGCGCTGCTTGATGGCATCGTGTTTACTTGAGTGTCACCTCCACTGGGTAATGGTCACTGATGGCTTCAGCCTGCAGAGGCGGGGAGGGTATGAGGCCAGAGCAAGCTTCTCCACCAGAGAGAGTGAGCAGGTAGGGAAGCCGTGCTCCTCCTGACCGAAACCACCTCCACCCACATCTCCTGTGGGACACAGCAGTGTCGGCAATCACTGAAGTCAGCCCTTGCTTGGCCTCAGGTTAGCTTAAACCACATAAAGGAAGGCCACATACCAGCTGCTTGGTAAGGCTGTATGCTGCTTGGAAGTCGAAGGGACCAACAGAGTTGGGAACAACAGCTCTCTGGAGCAGAGCTCCAGCAACCACGATCCTGCAGAACATCAGAGGACAAGGTTCCGTCACCCTCTTGTCTCACATAGTCTTAGGTAATAGTTTCTCGGCCCTGAGGTCTAAACTTGATCCACCCAGGAGCATTAAGAGAAGGCCCTGCACTGGCAGGAACTAGCATGTGAGGGATATCCAGATGGGAACCCATTACCAGCAGCCATTCTGACAAGAAAACTAGGACCCTGTGAGCCAAAGTTTCTGCTCATTTAAGTAGTGATGGGTTGATTGACCAAGTACATCCTGGCTGCTTACCTGTCATAGGCACAGTGTGTGGATGTGACAGTAGTGTCCACACTGTCAGGGATCAGCCACTGAAAGATAGAGCTTGTCCGGAGGCGGATAGAAGACCATTCGGAGGAACTGACGTAGCTGCAGCCAGCATTGAAATCTCCCATAAACATGACGTCCTACCAGGAAACATGCTTGTTGGTCCAGTGACAAGCAGAGCCAGTAGAACCCACTGTCCCTAGGATGGTCTCACCTCCAGGTGCCACTTTTGTCGGACATCCAGGTAAACATCATAGAGGGCATCAATCTCAGTCACAGCGTCTGTTGGGGCTGCATGCAGGGGCACGATTGCAAACTCCCTGACCTCTGAGGAGATAAAAGACATGCCGAGGGCATGGTATCCAGAGACCCGTCTGGATTGTAGCTGGCTTGAGTATGCACTGGGACCCTCATGGAGGGCCTGGCTTAGTTGTGGAGCAGCGATAGTGTGACAGTCTCTCAGAGAATAGACATCGTCCTTGCAATTGAATGTAAATTGAGAGCACTGAGAGCTGAGGGTGCTTTGGAGGGGAGTGGGGGGACAGTCCTGCCATGGGCTTCTAGATGTCTGGATGTGACCTGCAAGTTGGGACTCCGACTTGGCCTGGGCAGGGATGAGAGTGGAGCACAGCAGCACTCACCAGTGAATGGGGAGAAGAACTTGACAATTGCCGGCTCTCGGCTGAAGGTGTCATTCCCACAGGGCTCACAGCCATCATCGTAGTAATAGCTGTCCTGAACAGACACCTGGTCAGGCCTAAGGAAAGACCAGGCAGAATTTACTTTAGGGCTGGGAGCAGCAGAGGCAAGGTTACTCACCATGACACAAGTCCTTGTCTTGGTACAAACTGTGAGAGGCATCAGAGTAGATGCCCATCTGACCTTTGCCTTATCCTGTGACCCTCTGCTCTTGCCCTGTAATGTACACTGCTACCCCTACTCTTTAAGGGCCTCCCAAGTGAAAGAGGTGGCCCTGGGCTTCCAGACCACCCTCAGCCTCTGCAGGACGGATTTCGGGTACTATCTTCATCCTGTGCTTGTATTCTCAGGTTTTGATAGCATAGGACTTTACCTGTACAAGAAAAGGTACTGTTCCTTGTAGCTGTTGCGACCCAGCGGCTCACTGACCACATAGCGATAGGTATCAGGTTTGTCCCTGGATAAAGGAAACCAGAGGTCCTTTGAGACCATAAAGGGAACTCCTGGCAGCTGGTAGCAAGGTTCCATCCATGGAGCACGAAGAGGAAGGGAGTGAAGCTGCTTCCCTGTGAGTGGTAGTAATACACACTCCAGGACCCCAGCACTGTCACCCACCGATTGAGTTCATCCAGTAGCTTCCCAACGGCCACCAGGTGGGTGTCTCTGACCTCTTGGACAACAGCGATGTCATAGCGACTCAGGATCTGGGGGTAGGGTCACAACATCTTAGCTGGTAGAAAGTCCTGCCACCAGCAGCCCAAGACACCAGATGGCCAGAGCTGCAGCTGCCGCTGTTACTCATGGTACAGTTCTACCTGTAGCTTACACTTGTCACATATCTGCCAGCCATGGGCAGTGTGACAGTGACCTGGGCTGGCAATCCTGACATCACCCAGGTTCTGCTAAGACCTGGTGGCCCTTGGAGAAGCTTCCACCTCTCCCTAGGGTCTGTCTGCTCTCAGGCATGGGCCACCCTGAACTTACTTTCACAATGTATTTGGAGATGGTGGCATTGGACATCTTAGTCTCCCCGAAAGTCCGGATGTTGAAGGCTGCAATTCTCAGAGCCACAGCCAACTGCAGCAGGCTGGCCAGAGTGAACAGCACCCCCACTAGCCCTCCTGTGCATCGCATCCTGCAAGATTGAGATCAGGAGGAAGAAACTGTGACCTTACCACCCTCATCTAACCTTTTAAAGTTGTTCTGTTCTCATGCTGTGTAAACACCAGCTGAGAGATATCAGTCCTTCCTACACGTCGTACCACAGGAAAAACCTTAGGTTTCCTCTCTCACTCACCTGAAAGCCAGTCCTAGGTGCAATCACTGGAGACAGCACTAGCCAGAAGAGATCTGCTCTGTTGGTGGGGTGAGTCCCAGAGTCCGCTTTGGGACTGAGTAATGAACAAAAGAACTCCACGGATGACTAAGCCTGATACTCAGACCTAGGATATTCTGATACTAATTTCTCTTTACTTTTAAAGGAAAATTCTTTTTACAAAGTGTCTGAAGGAAGAAAACAAAAAGCAGGGTGCAATTGCAGAGCTGCTAGCAGTCCAGACGGCTGCTCAGGCGGTGCCAGCCTGCCCTGCCCTGCCAGTTTTAAAGGCCCAGGTACTTATGACCTCCCCAGGGCACATGTGTACCCTTCACCTGAGAGCACAGAACAATGGGCTTGCCTGTGTGGCCATCCCACTGGGTCCTGGGCAGGCCAACAGCATGTGCTGACTTTAACAGACAGAACCTCCTTGCAGCTGTAAAAGCAGTGTCTGATAATGTTTGAGCATGGTTATAAAATGTCTGTGTTCTTTGCCCATTCTGTCTTCAGCAGCAGGGATGGGCAATGGGTATACTGGCTTATCTACTTGTGTCTGATCTAGGGGACCTTAAAGTCACCTTGTAGCCAGAGAATAACTTCCAGACATGCTGTACATGGATTCCCAAGGCGGCAGCTGCTCCACTCTGTGGCTGGTGAGCTGCTAGAGGCTCTGGGTAGGAATTCTTCCTGGGGTACAAGCTCAGGAGAACCCCAAGTGCCTACATCACAAGACAGTATAACTCAGGGCTAGATCTTGCCATCATTTTTTAAGTTCTTTATTTTTTAATACTAAATTTGTTGGCTAGTTTTGTTTTTTTTTTTTTTTAATTAGCGTTTCTGCCTATATTATGTCTGTGTGAGGGTGTTGGATCCTGGACTTATAAATAGTTGTGAGCTGCCATGTGGGTCCTGGGAATTGAACCCTGGACCTCTGGAAGAGCAGTCAATGCTCTTAACCTCTGAGCCATCTCTCCAGCCCCCTTGCCATCATTTTTCAATTCTTATTAGTTTCTTTGTGCCCCCCCGGGGGGGGGGGGCTGCTGAAGCAAGATACCACAATCCATGTAACCTGTAGCCAGAAGTCCAAAACCTAGGTGTCACCCCACTCTAGGGGAAGATTCTTGTCACTCCAACCTCCACCTTCATGATCATGTTGACTTCTTTGAGGTCAGTTATCCCTCTGTTCCATCAATGGAGCTACATTTAAGTACTCTTAGATACGGTCAGAGCTCTGTCCCATCTCACCACCTTGATCACATCTGTGGCCCTTTTTGTTTGTTTGTTTGTTTTTGTTGTTGTTTGTTTTGTTTTTGAGACAGGGTTTCTCTGTGTACCTTTGTAGACCAGGCTGGCCTTGAACTCACACCAGACCACCCTCAGAGATCCACCTGCCTCTGCCTCCCGAGTGCTGGGATTAAAGGCGTGTACCACCACCACCCAGCTCTGTGGTCCTTTTTTTGCCCCCTTAAACTGTGAGTCTGCATATGGAGACCAGAGGGTGATGTAGGGTGATGTAGGATGTCCTACTCTTATATTTTGAGACAGGGCTTCTCATTGAATCTAGAGCTTACCAAATTGCCTAGAGTGACTGACCAGCAAGCTGCCAGAATCCCCCTATCTGTCTCCTAGTACTGGGATTGCTAGCACATGCTGCCACACTAATCTTGCGTGAGTGCTGTGGATCTGACTGGGTCCTCATGCCTGTGAGTGGGCAGGCACTTCACCCGCTAAACCTTCTTCCCAGCTCCTAAAGTTCTCTTTTGCCAAGTAATAGGATGTGGATATCTTTTGGGATGCCATCATTATCCCTCCATCAGAAGCTCTATGCAGGAGGGGTTGGCTCTCCAAGGCCACTACCATGTTACAGGGACAGAACCTTCCTTAGGAAGGAAGAGCTTGTATATCCAGGGAGAAGTGGGCAGCTTCAAGAGGTTGGGGAGCCTAGAAGGAGCAGGGTAGCCTAGAGGGCAGGAGTTGAAAAGGCTAAGGTCAGCAAAATATAGCTGATCTGCCAGCTGGCCAGGGTGCCTGGCATGCAGGACTAGAAGGAATTAATAAGAGTACAAAGGTAAAGACACCTCCAGGAGGCCAATGTCCCAGTGGCACTGATGCACATCTGCTCCTGTGTCTCTCATGTGGACAGTCTCAGACATGGAATCACCCACCTGCCTCTGCAGCTGTCAGAAACCCCATCACCAATCTTTTGTTGAAAACAGGGTCTCAGGTGGCTCGGGATATGTGTGTAGCCCAAGATGATCTTCATCTTCTGATCCTCCTGCCTCCACCTTGCACATTCTGGGATGTGTGCTGAGATTACAGGCAGGCATTTTCTAGTTATGAAGAGCTGGGGAGCAGACTATGACCCAGCCCCATTCGTAACTTCAAAACTATGCATGCCCATGCTTCAGTTCTCAACCTGAAGCTGGACAGACTTAAGTCCAACACTCAGTTCCCACCCACCCAGCAAGGCCGCTATGGCACCTGGTGACGCAACACAACTCACATTTTTCTACTTTGTTCACACATTTGAGAGACTAATGGCAGGAATAGGAGCAGACCTGGGTGGTAGCCAACGTGCACAGAAAGGTGGCTTGGACCAGTAAGATCTGGCCCCACCCCTCCGGTTCTCAGCATGTGGTAGGGTTAGGGTCCTGGCTAGCCTGTCATCTGCTCCCTGCTCCTGAGTGCTCCCAGGTACCCCTCCCATCCTCCCAGCAGCAGAAAGGTTAGGACTTAGGCAGCAGCTGGCTTCTGGGCACCAATTTCATGTGATCTCCATAACCGGGCTCCCTAGCAGCTTAGCTTGGGTCCACCTGAGCTTGAGGTGGGAACATTCACTTGGGATAAGGGCTTCACTGACCCTCTGTGGTTTGAGGGTCAGTGTACACAACACTAGTTAAGTGCAAATGTACCCCTTTTAGAAGGAAAGAGGCCTCCAGGATGTTACACAGCCTCGCTTATCTTTCCTGTGTTCTTCTGTGTCAGCTACAGCTGTGTAGTCAGTGGTCTCAAAACTCAGCATGCACAATCGCTATTTCTCTCTTGTATATAGGTCTGTAGGCCAGGTGGGGTGTCTTTGTCCCTGGGGCTGGACTAGAAGGACAAAAGGGAGGGAAGTGGAAACTCCACTAGATAAACAGGGGATGTGATGTTGTCTGCCATGTCCAACGTCAGCAGGAAGACATGGGCACATTCCTCAATGCCAGAGCCCACTTTGGAGATGTAGCCCCATGGAAGGCGGAAGCAGGTTCTGGAAATTCAGTCCCAACAACAAGGAAGTATGGTGACAGCCAGTGGCTGTGAGGGAAGCTGGCGACCCTTTAGAAGGTCAGCTCTTAATCTACAATATCCTTTTTAAATTACTCTTGTCACTGATGTTCACTGGGAAAACAGCAAATAACAATGGTTTGTTGAAGAATGAGCCAAGTCAAGGGATATGGAACAAATCCTCTTAAGCACTGTGACCAGAAACAAACAGCCCCAGAGGGGCAGGCCAGGTCGGGCTCTGAGCCACAGCCAGTGCTACACGACCCTCCGGAGAAGGAACACAAAGCTACTTTAGTGAGCTCAAGGGCCTGCCGTGTGAGAAGCAGTGACACCTGCATCCCTGCACACCACACTCACTGCAGTTGAGATGACTACTTTATTCCTTCCCATAGTGTGCTTTGTCAGTGCAGGTCTCAGTTGAGGCAGTTACTGAGAAGACATCACTGTGAACACTGATGCGGACGGAGACAAGGATCGTAGTATCAAGGTGTCTGGCCAGTAGATACATCCCAGGAATAGTTATGATTAAAAGTAGAGTTTACCACCATGTGGTAGTGTAACTCTTCTTTAATCCCAGTACTCAGGGGCAGGTGGATCTCTGAGTTCAAGGCCAGCCTGGTCTACAGAGTCAGTTCCAGTATAGCCAGGGCTACACGGGAAATCCTATCTTGGAAAACAACAAGAAAAATAATAAAAATTAATGTTTGCTAACTTTTCGAAATATTTATTATAAATTGTACCATAAATGCTGTTTGGGTTTGCCTACCTAATAAAAACACATCTGTTAGTGATTTCCTTTGACCTAAGGGCCTCTTAAAGTATTGTTACTGAATCTCCAGTATGTGTTGTCTGCTGAGGAACCCTGGGAAACTTTGATCTAAATGATCCAGGCATAGCCTGAACTGGGGTCATATGTCCTACCTTCCTTAATGCTCATCTCTCAACTGTATCATTTACAAGAGTGAGTTTGTACTGATATAAGATCAGCAATGGGGCTGAGCGTTGGTGGGGCACGCCTTTAATCCCAGCACTCGGGAGGCAGAGGCAGGCGGATCTCTGTGAGTTCGAAACCAGCCTGGTCTACAGAGCGAGTTCCAGGACAGAGAAACTCGGTCTCGGAAGAAAAAAAAAAGATCAGCAGTGGGAGGTGAGATGGACAGTGGGAAAAGCACTTGCCATACCAACCAGAATTCTGTTTTCAAACACTTAAAAGTTTGGAAAAGAACCGGGCTGAGTAAGAAATCAGAGAAACATCACCCTTTACAATAGCCACAAACAACATAAAATACCTTGGGGTGCTAACCAAACAAGTGAAGACCTGCATTGCAAGAAATTTGAGTCTTTGAAGAAAGAAATTAAAGAAGATATCAGAAAATGGAAAGATCTCCCATGCTCTTGGATGCGTAGAATCAATGTAGTAAAAATGGCAATCCTGCCAAAAGCAATCTACAGATTCAATTCAATCCCCCAATAAATTATCAGCACAATTCTTCACAGACCTAAATCCAGCCACACTGAACCTCTTAGAAGAGAAAGTGGGTGATACCCTTGAATGAATTGGTACAGGAAACTGCTTCCTGAACATAACACCAGTAGCACAGACACTGAGGTCAACAATTAATACACGGGACCTCCTGAAACTGAGAAGCTTCTGTAAGGCAAAGGACACAGTCAACAAGACAAAAAGGCAGCCCACAGAATGGGAAAAGAACTCAAGAAGCAAGTCTCCAAAACACTAAAGGATCCAATTAAAAAGTGGGCTACAGAACTACATAGAGAATTCTCAATATAGGAGTCTAAAATGGCTGAGAGGCATTTGAGAAAGTGCTCAAAATTCCTAGCCATTAGGGAAATGCAAATCAAAACAACTCTGAGATACCACCTTACTCCTGTTAGAATGGCTAAAATAAAAAACACCAATGACAGTTTGGAGAGGTTGTGGAGAAAGGGGAACACTCCTCCACTGCTGGTGGGAGTGCCAACTCGTACAGCCACTTTGGAAATCAGTATGGAGATTCCTCAGAAAAATGGAAATC